TTCATTGCACTCAACGGGTGTTGCATGCATCAGTATTTAAGTTAAATAAAAAGCACCCATCCATAAAAAAGCAAAAAACAAAAAATAATGCGTCTCACATGGCTCCGGGGGGTGAACAAAGGCCTTCTGTAGCGAATCGATGCGTTTTTGTAAGATAAATATCCATATTCAAAACGTAATAATCACTTTAATGTAGCTTGCGCTCACTGTTGTACACTGAAGCAGCTCCGGGCGGATGACGTATGAGGTCAGCGTTGCGCATGCGCCGCTCAGAAGTGACGCACGCGAAAGCGCAGGGGAGAGATCAAAACAAAACAACCGTCACTTATTAGAAGTACAAAACGAGGATTTGTAAAGAAGAATGTCAGAGGATTTCGATATAAGCCAAGAGGAGACTGGTTTTCCTTTGCTAAGGTAAGGAAACTTTGCTTCCTTTGCTCCTGTTAACAAACGTTAGTTTTCACGAGACTCACCGGCGCATGCGCAACGTTGACCTCATACGTCATCTGCCCGGAACTGCTTCCGTGTACAACTGTTGGCGCAAGCTACATTAAAGTGATTATTATGTTTTGAATATGGATATTTTTCTTACAAAAACGCATCGATTCGCTACAGAAGGCCTTTGTTCACCCCCCGGAGCCGTGTGAGACACTTTTTTTTTTATATGGATGGGTGCTTTTTATTTAACTTCTTTTGGACTGATGCATGCAACACCCGCTGAGTGGCATTAAACAGCTTGAAAGATTAAAGACAATTTTTAATATAACTCCGACTGGATTCGTCTGTAAGAAGGAAGTCATACACCTAGGATGACTTGAAAGTGAGTAATTTATGGACTAATTTTCATTTTTGGGTGAACTAACGAACAAAAAAAAAATGTGTTAAAGTTGTAATGCTTCACAATATTCCTGTTTTACTATAATTTTGATCAAATAAATGCAGTCTACATCAGAAAGAGAGACTTAAAAAAAAAGAAAGTTTTGGAACAATAAGCTTTTTTTAAGAGTATATTTTATAACTAACTGTCATTCAAATTCCAGTAGTGACAGTTCAATCAAACTGAGATACATACTCAATCCCTTTCTGCCTCCACGGTTTGCAAAGTGCTCAGCCACACGGCCCAGCTGTCCTTGTTCTCCACATCCTGAGGTGTACAGCTCGCCATTCACAGTCAGCATCACCAAGTGGTCGTTTCCTTTATATTGAATTCAAAATATTACTATGCAGATTAATTACATAAACAATGATGTAAAGCTACAGCTTGAATACCTATAACCCACCTGAGACTATTTTAACCACAGGCGTGTCTATAGGAACTTTGACGGGCAATGTGCATTTTTTCATGGGCTCCAGGAGTCCAATGACACCGTTATTGTCCTGCAACAGAAAGGATAGGGCAATCAAAAGTTGTACAGCGTTTCCGCTCTGCTGCAGCATACAAAAAGGCTATACTCACTCTAAAAGAGCCCCAGACATAGACGGCCCCCTCCTCCGTGAGGGCAGCTGTGTGACTGTCCCCTGCAGAAACCTGCAGCACTTTTTCACCAAGGTCCACCTTAGCTGGCACCATCTCTGAACCCTCCTCAGTTGTGTCACGGCCCAGTGCGCCCTCATCATTACAGCCAAATGTATAAATCTACACAGGGAAGAGAGAAAACAGGCAGGAAGTCAGAAAGCCATGATAAAACAACATTGAACGGTCTTGTTAGTGGGGTTTTGAGGTCAGCACAAAACTTACATTTAAAACTTAAACTTACATTTCCTGTGTCGCTGAGGCAGACTGTGTGCATGCCTCCAGCCACGGCCCGCACGATACCCTCAGGAAGTGTCACCAGAGCTGGTTTCTTCCTCTCCAGCACATCCTCTCCCAAGCCAAGCTGCCCAACATCTCCCTGCCCCAGAACAAGCACTAGGCCCTTCTCCTGCCCATGACTACTGTGAGACACTACAAACCACCACAAAAACAGAATGCGTGAGTTTACAGATTTAGATATTCCAGAAAATCAACGTCTGCATTTTTGGTATTATTTGATGCCAATAAGACTGGCTGTGAATTTAAAACCACATTCAAGCATTGATATAAAACTCAATATTATAGCAACAATGTTCACAATATTTTCAGATGCTGTGGAAATACGTCCAGTTAGTAGCAGTTTAACTAGATATCCATGGAAAGAATTTTCTTTACGACCATTTGTAAAGACATGACGAGAAATGACAGATCACTTCGCTAGATAAGATCCTTATTCCTCGGCTGGGATCGTGTAGAGCCCTTTGAAGCTGCATTAAAACTGTAATTTGGACCTTCAAGCTGTTGGTAACCATTGAAGTCCATTATATAGAGAAAAATCCTGGAAGGTTTTCCTCAAAAACCTTAATTTCTTTGCGACTTAAGAAAGAAACGAACATCTTGGATGACATGGGGGTGAGTAAATTATCAGGAATGTTTTAAGAGAATCTCTCCCCTAAATGGCACATAATGCTTTTTTTGGACAAAAACAGCTACAATGTGGGTCAGTTTAATCAAAGGTCTGGCTATAGGAAAATAGAGACTCGCCTTTTTGTTTTTTCACAGACGTTGAGTCCTCAGGTGCTGCAATTGTTTGTCTCTTTACCGCTTTTTTTGCAGGCATGGTGACTCCAAATTCTTGACAAAACCTAAAACTAGAAATAATGTTAACAATAAAGCGACTCCCTATATACATATAAACAAAAACTCTAGGCCAAAGTAAACCGCATTTGAAGCCTACACGTGAAACAGGCCTGGACTGCTATAAAGTAATGTACAGTTAAAAAGTGAAAAATGTACATTTGGCTTTCAATTCCTCAAACTCCTGTGAAGCAAACAAAACTTTCCAGGACCTGCACTGCTGTACAGGGCTCTTTATATTGGCTATAAATTGTCTCTGCCTCGGCTTGTTCGGGCATCAACTGCTAAAATGTCGCTAAGTTAGGCAACTGACTAGGTTTTGAGACACATGCACTCCGTTTTCTGGCGCTGACTTCACGCTCTATGACTGACAGCGACAAATGCTTGATGGCGGTTTATCGGACAAACATGGCATGGGAAAGAACAGGCTCTTATTTTTTAGGTTTTATACATAATTTAAATGCAGGAAATAGTTTAAACATGGCAGAATAAGATATGAGCTCAAGCAAACATTTATGAACTGGATCAAACATGCTTGTTCTGCACACAGCTCAGCTGCAGTCCAAATCTCTGTTTGACATTTCCTGTGCTTCTGATAGACTTATTTTTATTATCTTACCGTGGGTAGGCAGCTGAGATGAAAAACCTACACTTATGAGTGAAAACTGCCCCGTCTCAAAGCTTTCGCTTCTTCGAGGTTTGTGAACATGAGCAACTCCTTGAAAGAATATAACGCACGCGTGTCTCACTCCGGCACTACTTCGTGTTTTTCACTGGAATCGCGCTAATAAACAAATGCGCAGGCGCCACCTATTGGAAAGGCGGGTTGGAAAATGTTATAGATGAAGAATGTGTTTGATTTATAATCGTCATTTAATTGAAACGTTACCAAACGTTATGTTTTACCAAGGAATATTTTAAAAGTATGCACATAGTAGCATTTAAAACTATTTTAAATGACTAAATGACTTATGACACACGACTAATCATAATTGAGAAGTCTCATAATAAACCAGAATAATACAATTAGATACATCACAAAAAAATCATAAACAAATGAAATAAAATAATAAAAAAAGAAAATCCAAAGAACATTTCTAATTATGTGGAGGGATTTTGAAAATATTTATACAAAATGTTTGCCTTATTTTTTATTTGTTTTATTTTTTTAACTGCCATTTAATTGGCTTCAGCTACTTATGGTCAGACCAGTATTATTTTTGTATTAATTATATACCGTTATGGTATTCATTAATATTTTGAATGAAAAGTATTTTTATTTTCAATTAATTTCATTTTAGTTTAGGTTTTTGTAACTGTGCGTTGCCATTTTTATTGTTATTATTTTAAAAATGTCTATTTAGCTTTAATTTTTATTTTAGTTTTAGTAATTTTGCTACTTCAAATTGAATTTATTTCAGTTAAAAATACTTAGTAGTTTTAGTACTTTTTAGCTGGAAAAAAAAATACTGCAGTATGTTTTACAAGAAATTAAACATATTTCAGTCTTTCTACTTCAAGGTTTCATTCATGTCTTGGTAATTATTTGTGAAATTAAACGTTTTTTTCAGTGTAGTTGCCAAAGCAACATTTCTCATTTTCATGTAAGTTTTTCATATATTTATATTATAATTACATATTTTTCAGCTTTATTTCAATTACCCAAAATATTTTTTTGCTTGTTTTAGCTTTAGTAAGCCACTACAGATGTAAAATGAATAGAGACCATGAAATAAATGGAGAAATTAGTAGCTATAAGTTTGATTGCATAATATAATTGCTGTTAGTGTTCATTGTCTGTTTGATTACGTCTTTAATTGATTTTTCCGTACATTTCTGCCATATGTTCATTAACTGACAGTCACCACTGATAAGCTACCACTAAATATTGTAGAAACTTAATTTGCTGTAAAGTTGCTTTGCAATGATTTCGTGAAAAGCGCTATACAAATAAACTTGAATTGAAATTAGTTATATTACCTGTTCCTGGCCCTTCCTCTGCACTAACAGTGCTCTCTAAAACCTCAACACACTTTTGATGTTATATGCTAGTTGTGGCACATTGTTGTCTCTTTTGAAATGCATTATGCACTTCGTGTGTTCATTTTTGTAAATGCAATTTTTCAGCTGGGATTTCTCATATTTGCAATGCAATTTCTCATTATTTGGACATTACATCTCAGAAATGTGAAATATGTGGCCCGGAATATGTGGCTTTGGAAAAGATTAAATTGTAAAATGTGAAGTGTGAACCATTACCGTTTAGGTTCTGTGCGCAAAATGATACAGTCAATATGTCATAAGAAAGCATTTTTTTTAAGTAAGAAAAAAGAGAGCCTCAGCAAACCTCATTGGTAAGCATTTTAATTTAGATTTAGAGGTGGTTTACATCTAAACAGCAAATTTACTGTCAGTTTCTAAAAGTTCACATATAATTAAAAAGCAAGAATATACAACGCTACATTACATTGTAGTGTTGAATAATACACTAATAATTTTGTGCTTAAAAAAATAGTAACCTATATGAGTTTCAATATATTTAAAATATTTTTTTAAAATAAAAGGAAGACAAGATATACACAGTCAGGTTCATCTACAGAATGGATCTGTACAGCAGAGCAATTCCTATTATCCTACTTGCCAACAAAACAAAAAAACAAATGATAAAATAATTGGAAAAAAATGAAGAAGAGTTCCTGCCGCAATAACCTCCGTGTCAACAATACTTAACAAAACTTCAATTTTAAAACTGTATCAGTGCGTGTGTGTCTGGACTAAATTCATTCTCCTTTTAAATGGGCAATAAATCCTTTTTATTTAAAAATAAAATATTTTGTAAACATGATTTGGACACTTCTTAAAACTGAAATAGCTGGACCTCATTTTTATAGAAGGTGATATGATTAAAAACAAGATTGTAAAAGATAATAGATCACAGTTTTTTCTGTAAATCAATAGTGAAATATGAAACGCTTACATTCTATCTAAAAAATGTATCCTATCTTCTTCTATTCTTCTCTATGACTTCTTAAACTGTGAGGACAACAAAGTAAGGGGGAATCTGTAACCCTGTCTTGAATAAAGAAGGTCAAAGCCAAAGTTATGAATAATAGAAAAAAAAAACCTTGTGCCTTAAAGTTTCTAACATTTAGAACGTTCCAAAGAGTCAAACTAAGAGAAAAATTACAGCAGCCTATACAAACATACACAATAAGATCCAGGCTCAGGCATTCTTGCAGTACTTCTGTCTGCCCCACTATGCGCAGTAACTAACACTTACTGTAGTATTACTGTATTTATTAGTCACATCATTATTACTATTATTTTTTAACTTTGTTACACTTCCCTGAAAGGAAATAAAGTTTATCATATGAAGTAAAAGCAGAAAAAAGGCCATTCAGAGAGTAGAGAGAGGAATATCTGCCATTGGCACCAGTAACATCCTCTAATAAGTCCTTCATCGCCTCTCTGTCTTGGCACATGGGTCCCCTAAAGTCCAGGAGAAATACTGCATCTGTCCCCCAGAGGTCGCCCGTCCCACACGATAGTGGGCGGACAACTGAGAAACGGTCGGTTTTGTTTTGTTTCTGAATGCTCCAGGAGTCCCTGTGCATCTGAAGAAGTACATTCATAGTAAAAGCAGTCTGAAGGGAGCTCTGACACACTGAGGCTCCTCAAAAAAAAACAAAAAAAAAAAAACTGTAATTTCTTCCCAGTATCCACCGGCCTTTAAGTGCTTCATTTTCCAGTTAAAAGATGCAATTAAGGACGATGGAATCTAGAAATGACACAAAACCACATAAAAATGTAAATACACCGTTAGATGCTTTGCACAAGAAGTTTTCTGTATTTTTATATGTTTAACAGTACACTTACCTTGTGTAAATTCTGCTTTCCACATGCACTTCCATCTCAGAGCTTTTAAACTCGTTGAGCTCTTTACGAATAGCAGCCTAAACAAACAGGTTACAGATGGTTGATTATGTGTAGAGCAGATATAATAATAATAATTATAATAATAATAATTAATGCATTTAGCAGACGCTTTTATCCAAAGCGACTTACAGTGCATTTAGGCTATAAATTTTTTTTTACCAGTATGATATAGATATAGATCAATAAGCGAGACATTTAAAAGAAATCAGTGTCTTTTGAGACTATAATCTCAAGTACTTAAGTCAAATGTTATATAAAGATCTCTAGATCTTTATATAGACACAAATGTGTGTGTGGTTGCAATTTTTTTTCTGTAGATGTACCTTGTCTGCGGGAGTGAGTTTGGTCCATGGCTTGTCAGCACGCCGGTCATAGTCCTGAGCGCATGTGACCTCCACGTACTCGTGGAAACGTAATATTTTTCGAGCCTGTAGTTCGGCAACAGTCGGTCGTTGACTCAACTAAAAAAAGAAAAGAAAACAGACAAATGCATGTCACAGATACTGACAGTTAGGTGAATGTTTGATTGAAATTCCTTGAACCAATATTAGATTAATTCTCGCTTCTTGCTAAAATCAACATTAAAGTATTAGTTCACTTCCAGAATAAAAATTTTCAAATAATTTACTCCAAGATGTTCATGTCTTTCTGTCTCCAGTCGAAAAAGCAATTAAGGTTTTTCAGGAAAACATTCTAGGATTTTTCTCCATATAATGGAGTCAAACGCTCAAAGTAAAAAGTCAAACGCTCAGAGCTATCCACGTGTGACCTTTCCAATGTGATTACGCAACGCGTGAAGTCGTAGATGCACATCACAGAGCTAGTGCAAGATGAGCATTTGTGGTTAAAAAGTATATACTATTTTTTTAATGAAATGACCGATTGTTTCGCTAGATAAGACCCCTAATTCCTCAGCTGGGATCGTGTAGAGCCCTTTGAAGCTGCACTGAAACTGCAATTTGAACCTTCAGGCCGTTGGCCACCATTGAAGTCTATTATATAGATGAAAATCCTGGACTGTTTTCTTCAAAAACCTTAATTTCTTTTCGACTGAAGAAAGAACATCTTGGATGACATGGGGGTGAATGAATTCTGGAGAATTCTGGAAGTGAATTAATCCTTTCATATTATATTCCAGGTGAAATGTAATGCAAGCAAACCAAATCGCACCTTTCTGGTGAGTCTGCGCTTGATCTCCCTGACCTCTGCTTGTCTGTCTGCTTCATTTTTGGCTGGAGAGAAATGAGAGATACCATCAACACCAATCAGGCTGATTCAAATCCAATTTCATAGGAAAATTATGTGGAGCATGATAAACTATTAGCGCATTGAAGTACAAAATAAATGAGGACAGCAAAATATTTTGGATCTAATTTCACTTCCTATAGACAAAGTATCACAAACTGAAACTCATAGGCTCATTTGAGAGAAACAAAAGCAAGGACTTCACTCTATTTAGCAGAAAGTATCAGTAATATCTGCCGGCATATGAAACCAATTGAATATGGGTCAGTGTCAATCCTTCAGTGAACACTGAGGGAATAAAGAACAGGAATAAATGAGTAACTAATGAAACCAGGAAAAAGGGACAGAACAGAACGGACGCACGAAGATAAATCACAATACAATAACTGGAGTCAGTATAAAGAGGCAATTTACGCTGGAGAATGTTTCTCTGTTCCAACTCCTCAGCACTAGGTCTCTGGCTCAATCGCCTACAGACGAAAAAAAAGAAAAGAAAATCTCATATTCATATATTCTTATTGCACATTATACAATATTTAAATATATATTAATAAAAAAAAAAGTCTAATTATATTTAAATTATAATATTTTTTTTTATAATAAATAATACTAAAAATATAAATTTAAATGAAAAAATTATGTAATTTAATATTTATATACATTTATATATAGCCAGTAAGTATATGTACACACATAGCATACATACATACATATACATGTATAAAAAAATATGTATCCAAACTTCTTGTTTCTTGTTGGTTTTTCTTGCACTGACTATCAACCTATGGCTGATTCACAGCTGTTCATATTCAGTAAATCAGTTTCAGTGTAATTTGCATTTATGTGAGTGTGAGTAGCTGAGTGGGCTATTACCGTGTGAGTGCGCTACCAATCTGTGTGCGGATGGCCTCCCACTGCTCCTTGCTCTGCCACGACAGACCCGTGTGCTCTACTTTGGCCTGCCTCTCAGGAGCCTGCCTGTCTGGGGCAGAGGGCCGACTGCTCAACTTCAGCGCCAACGTGTCCTTCCTTTTCACCCTGCTGGCCAGAGCACCTGCAGCGAGCAAACACACATGCGCACACGCATGCAGTCAGAAGGTTTGGCTCTCTTTTATATAGACAGATGTCTGAGTATACGATCCTACTAAAAAAAACCTGTTAAATTAATACAGACATCAGAAGGCGCTTTCTAAACACAAAGACACAAATGTTTTTAAAACAATGTACAAATGTTATTTTAAAACTTAATTTATCAGTTATTTTAAACTTTAATAAAAAAAAAATACAAATAACAAAAATATTAACCAGTACAACTTTTTTCCAACATTGATAACAGTAAGAAATGTTTCTTGAGCTGTGCAATAGAATGATTTCTAAAGGATCACGTGACACTGAAGACTGGGTAATGACTGCTGAAAATTCAGTTTTGCCATCACTGGAATAAATGTTAAAATATATTCAAATAGTTCATTTAAGTTGTAATAGTTTTTCACAGTATTAATGTTTTTACTGTATTTTTGATCAAATAAATGCAGCCTTTGTGAACAAAGGAGACTTACATGCAATATAAAGCAGAAAAAGCTGTTAACATACTTGGTGGGCTGTCGTCGTTGTCATCCTCATCCGATTCATCGTCCTTGTATAGCACAGGCCCATCCGAGTCGCTCTCCTCCGGCTGATGATCTTCCTCATCTTCCTCCTCGCTGCTGTTGTTTCCTTCAGGGATGACGCTGACGCTCAGATCCCCCACCAGGCATCTGCGGCTACGAGGCTCAAGTTCTGGCTGGGACTGAGGGGATGGGAGGTGATCAGGTAGAGGTTCCTCATCATTGTCGTCATCGTCCTCTTCCTCTTCATCGGAGTAGTCATCCTCATCCCTGCAAAAATAAAAAAATCTATTTCACACAGGATTTATATGCATATAAATGTACTGTTTTTGCAACTTTTTAACTGTCAGAGAGTGTCAAGAAAAGACGAAAATTATTTTTGAGAAAAAGGGAATCACAGCCACATAATGCAGGACAGATCTGAAAAAGCATCTCCCAAATGTCTATGGAGGATTTTTATTCATATCAAGCAGCTGCAAGATTATAAAAAGGGCAGAAAATTTAAGTTAAAATTTATAAAAGTTAATAAAAAAATAAATAATTAAAATCAATAAAATTTAATAAAACGGTTGTTATAAAACTATATTTGACCCGTGATGTGTTGGCACAAAAATTTCTGGGAACCACAAGGAAAAATATATCATGAAAACATGATATGTAGTATATTATTTTCTTTGAGAAGTTTAAAATACAAGTAATTATAAGTGTGTCTCTACATAGGTTTAGTAATGTAAGCTTGCCTTGCAATTGTTTTTTATAAATAATTGTAACTGTTGCTTACAAAAGACACAATTTACATTTAATTTACAGGCTCAATTTTTTTATTTAGATTTATATTTTATATGTATATTCTTCTTATAAATATATACACACACACATACGAAAAAAATAAAACTACAACCATACAAAGAATTTGGCTTCAGCAGTAGAGGTTGTTGGAATGTAATGCATATATAAATTATATTTAATATACATAGATGATCCGTTCACAATAAGAACTATAATATGCATCTACAAACTACAGTGAATTTTCATTTCAATCAAACTTTACATCATTACTAAAGTTTTTTTTAAAGTGCTTCTTTATATTCTAAAAAAACGTTCAGCATCAAAACTATATTTAAAAACATTTATTTTAATTTAGAATTAAAGTTTTGATTGGCAGCTCTATTAATAAGTATAGAAAGTGCCCAGATTTCACTCACAGTTTGAGAGGCTGGATGGTGACTGGCAGTGGGCGGCTGCCCTGGTACTCCGGTGGCGTCTCAAACAACAGTGAGTGGGCACGCTGGGAGCCATCTGGGTGTGGGAGAGTGGGTCCTGGGCTACTGAGCGCCCTCTGGATCATAATGTGTAAGGGAATGGGGGCTTGACGGGCTGGTGGTTCCTCCGGCGGGCTAGGAGGGTCAAAGTGGACAGGGAGTGGCTGGGGCAGGGGGTAGGGGTAGGAGTGTTGGTGGAGGAGATGATGGGTGTGGGCCCGTGGAGGGGAAGGGGGTCAACTCATTTCATTGACAAGGTTCATTAAAAAAAAGTGTTCTTTTGTCTAAAAGAATGGAAAAAGGCATACTGGTTTGGAATGGCATAAAGGATGAGTAAATGATGAGAGAGTTATCATTTTTAGGTGAACTGTTCATGTAATTCTGTTGAGTAATATTACAGTCATTTTTCAATTAAAAATGTTTGAAAATTGTTACTTAGATTTACAATGTTTTTTTTTTGTACATTTAATACTACAGCTGAACTCACACAAGGAGGTGTCAACCTAGTACCGGCCAAGCCCTCGCCCCCTATGCCCCCGAAAAGAACCACGCCTGTCACCAAACGCAATGCAGAGGACTCCCCTCTGACCATTTCCTCCCTTCCCTCCATTCTGTCCGAGGACATGAGGGCCAACATCCCCGGGGATGTTGGCCCTCATGTCCTCGGACAGAATGGAGGGAAGGGAGGAAATGGTCAGAGGGGAGTCCTCTGCATTGCGTTTGGTGACAGGTGTGGTTCTTTTGGGGGGCATGGGGGGCGAGGGCTTGGCCGGTACTAGGTTGGTGCCTCCTTGTGCGAGTTCAGCTGTGGTATATAATGCACAAAAAAAAAATAAAACATCATAAATGTAAGGAACAGTTTTCAAACAAACTGCGTTGAAAAATTACTGTAATATACTCAACAGAATTAAAGGGGTCATATGATGCTGCTAAAAAGAACATTATT